TAGCAAGTGCTCCCTCTTCATCCTTGCTCGCATCAATGTCAATCTAAACACGCACATCTGTTGCTCATTTCACGGTCATTTACTCCCGCTCTCTTTCGACTCACTCGCCCTCATTAGTCCCTTCCACCGCCCGTCCTTTTCATTCCCACATGCTCCCGTTTTTCATCTTTGGTCACTCTAGTTGCCACCACCCGGTTCAGTTTTTTGTCTTGCGTATTTGAGAAAGCCCCCCTCTACGTCTCCTATCTCTTCTCTTTTTCGGGGGGAAACGGCTCAAGTGATGAGCAGGCAAGAACGAGCAGCCCTCTCTCATGCCTCTCACATGCAAGTACGGTTCTCCCTGATTGATTGGATTCTACGCTCTCTTGTGCTTTAGGTAAACTGGATCTGGATCTTCTTTCCTTTAATCCTATCATCGTCCCCAATGTAGTGCCATCCGGTCATGCTCATTTCCGAGAACCCATAGCTCATTTAGCTCTGTGATATAGGTATCCCTAGTAAAGGCCTTGTCCTCCAATACTCTAGCAAGGGGTGATTGACTCCCAAGTAAGGCTCAAGGGATTCGCGCGATATAAGAGAATGTGCTTGTATGAGCAATTTATTGAGTACGAAACATCCTTCAATGTGCTGTAATTACAGGGTAACTGGTACAAATAATCTCGAGCCCTATTAAACAATGTTCATATCATAGGACTCCATCCTTTGAATGTAAAACTTGACACAAATTACAGTCGGTTTTCGAAACCATTATGAAAAGATATGAAAGTAAGAACGAGTGCTTTAACGAACGAAATGAAGTCGAAATCATCAATGAAGATCGACGAAGATAGGTGTTGATTCTTAGATGATGTGAAGTGACTCCGGTAGGTGTGATTCAACACTGGGGGATACAGGCCACCAAATTCCTTATAACTACTTGAGGAAATGTTGGCCAGGAGGGTATGTCGTCGTTGGATTCTGGAGAGTGGTACCTTGATATGGGTTGGTGGGGGTGTAAGGCCTTTACAACCCCCACCACAAAGGTACGAATGATTAATGGGGATATTATCGTGCAAACGACGACAGTTGATATTGATGTGGATACTGTTGATGACTGTGGTGGCTGATCACAATCGGATCAAATGCAGCTTGGATGAGGTTGAGCTGTAAACGAGTAGTGCCAATGCAAACAACGGCCCACAGGATGCTGCATATGTCACACAGTAAAGGAGAGAGATAAAAGTTAGTCCTTTACTCCAATATCAGGGAGAAAAGATGAATACGCACAGGAAACCCGTGAAAAGACGGGCAGGGGGCATCGCCATCCATGCGAACATGTTATACGCTCTGAGAGCTGGATCCGTAAGGCGTCAGGAGACAATTACTACGAAGGAATTTGATGAATATATCTTACCGACTATGATCTAGGGGAATTATGTAAGCACTTGTTTCACTCAGGACTTTCTTACTCACGACATAATACCCGACGCCGTCCCGAAATAGTACTAAAAAGAGTCTTGACCCTAGCCTATAAGTTCCAAATACCTTTTTCTGCACTTTAAGGACGGTCTGAATACAGATAACAGTTTCAAAGAGCAAAGCTGGGATCCAGATATATCCTAAGCCAAAGTGTTAGCTTAGCAGGTTGGGGGTTGTGGGAGGACGAGACTCTTACCATAAGACCACGGCCTAAATGCTATAGCACATGCCTGGAACTCTTCTGCGAAAAAAATATGCCCTAAAAGGTATCAAAATTCAGTCGAGCAAACCGAATAAACCTAGACTTGGTGGTAAAAGACACAAAACTAACCTGGATGACGAAGAGATAACATCGAAACAGCAATCAAGGCTCCAGTGGCGATATACGTTACGGCATAGAAGGCCGTCATCCAGCCTTTGAATCTTCGTGAATTCCCGAAGAGAGAGGCCGTTCTCGTGAGCATGATCCAATTCGACATGAGAAAGAAGAAAAAGGCTCCAAAGGCTGGTATTAATCACCAATTTACAAGTCAGGATCTTCAATGACGGACATTAAAGGGGAATGTACATACAGCTTGCGGTGAATAAGATGGAACATCTTGGGTGTCGCATCAGTAAAGAGAGTAATACATGAAGCAAATATTTAAACCCACGTTTCATCGGTATATCTTATTACGCCAGTATAGGTGAACGTCCAGACAGTGAGAAAGGGGAAAGTGATCAAGCGATTCTAGTGACGGGAATATGAACCGAATTAGCAATCATAGAAAATTGTCTGGTAAACTTGTCTTGTCTCAGTATGATGTTATACTCACCAAATATATGAAAATTTTGATAACACCCCACTTCTTGGGCCAAATGAGGCGCACCTAGCACAGTGAAAGTGGAGTCAGAGGCGAGGATAACAATGAGGACGAGGAAATTTAAATATGACTCACCTCTTCGCCCAGAGTTAGAAAAGTATCATACAATATAATGGTCAGCGCAATGCCTGTGCGTAGAGGGGATTGTCATCCATTGGGTGGGTCGTCGTTACACACCAAGACGAACCTGAACTTAATTTTGTCAGCATTAAATCCCTTGCTACCTCCTCGAGACCGGCCTCATCCCCATCCCTTGGTTGTAATACCGGAAGCATGCGGGGTATGTTCAGTAGAGGAACGTTCAGGGAGGGGAGGGGAGGAGTGAAGGGGTGTCCGAGTCTCATCCGTGCTGTATTTTAAACGGCGGCGTTCCATAGTGAGTGTAAGGAGAATTGATTCATTTACACCCCAGGGTGTCAAGATTGATGATGCGCTTCGACCAAGCCAGGCTAAGAGTGCCATTCCTGGAATCGGCCTCTAACACATGGAAGGCTAATGTAGGTTTCGATCGTTCCCGGTGAAATTTAAAGTTCATCCTCTTGAAAACGGGTGCTTTTACTCGGCCAATCAAGGCGGATAAATTCTTGCAGCCTGGCTCGAGCGGCGTCAGTCATCGGGTTGAGCAATAGCCGATGTTAGCGCATAGGGCACGTCGACCTCCTTTGACCATCACAAATAGCACCCGAGTACGATGTGTGAATCTGATGATTCGTCAGGCACATTTTCAAAGGAACTGTGATTTTAGATTGACTAACCTATTCT